TGGACAAAGAAGGCACTCGTCTGGCAGTGCGTTGCCTAAAAAAGGGGCTGCAGACGCAAATATATCCACAGGCATACAAACACATCACGGATATCATTTATCTGTGTGGACGTGTGTTAAACTACAACTAAAAACTGTGTCCTGACTTTTGGGCCACCGTGTATAATAACCATGTGTCCTGACTTTTGGGCCACCCTGTATAATAATGTGTCCGGACTTTTGGGCCACCCTGTATAATAAAAATAATCCGATGTGTCCTGACTTATGGCCCACCCTGTATAATAACCATGTGTCCGGACTTTTGGGCCACCCTGTATGATAATAATCCGATGTGTCCTGACTTTTGGGCCACCCTGTATAATAACCATTTGTCCTGACTTTTGGGCCACCCTGTATAATAATAATCATGTGTCCTGACTTTTGGGCCACCCTGTATAATAATGATCCGATATGTCCTGACTTCTGGCCCACCCTGTATAATAACCATGTGTCCGGCCTTTTGGGCCACCCTGTATAATAACCATGTGGCCGGCCTTTTGGGCCACCCTGTATAATAATAATCTGATGTCCTGACTTTTGGGCCAGTGGGATGGTTTTAAGGAACTTGACCACTGTTCCAACTGCCACGCCCGGGAGGTCGAACGGATGACCTCTGGATTGCAAGCCCAACGTGCTGACCATGACATTGTAACGAAACAACAACCGCCATTCGCCACTAAGTGGCGGTGACGTCACCACGGCGCTTGTGCCAGGCACTGTGCACGTTGAGGCCACGTGAAGTGTCGAACGCCCGCTGGCAGGAGGTCACGGGGCACACAAGTCTGTTCCTCCGCATACAATTTTTTTTTCCTACACATCCTATCAGCAGCCCACTCGACATTCAAGGAGCGTTTTTCTGTTGTTGCTTCAGCACCATTGCTTTAACACGAGCAACACTCCGGAGCGGTTTAGACATTCAGTGCCTCATCATCATCATCAGCAGCAGTCGGGCTCCCCCGCGTCTATTCGAAATGTGGCATGGGCCCTCCCGGTGCACTCTGATCTATAGATTCCTTCGGAGGCTTGTTTATTAAGCGGATTTGCCATGCATTTTTTAGTACTGGCTCTGCCTCTTGAAGGTGACGAGAAAATTCAATATCTCTCTCCACGCAATTGTGGAAAACCCACCCCTCCTCAATCTCCGGTGACGTGGGAGTGCGGCAGGGGAGAGAGTGAAGTGTGAGGCCAGACGTCTCAGACGACCTCCATCCGCAGATTCGGTCCGACAGGAGGATCGACCGCTTTCGTGAAGGTTCATGAAACAAATTAATGAATGAGGTTTTTTTAAAAAATATACACAGAGTGGCTGAAAAGTCAGGACACATAGGGTTATTATTACAGAGGGTGGCCCAAAAGTCCGGACACATCGGGCTATTATACAGGGAGGCCCAAAAGTCCGGACACATAGGGCTATTATTATAGAGGGTGGCCCAAAAGTCTGGACACATAGGGCTATTATACAGGGTGGCCCAAAAGTCTGGACACATAGGGCTATTATACAGGGTGGCCCAAAAGTCCGGACACATAGGGTTGTTATTCTAGAGGGTGGCCCAAAAGTCCGGACACATAGGGCTATTATACAGGGTGGCCCAAAAGTCCGGACACATAGGGCTATTATTATAGAGGGTGGCCCAAAAGTCCGGACACATAGGGCTATTAAACAGGGTGGCCCAAAAGTCCGGACACATAGGGCTATTATTCTAGAGGGTGGCCCAAAAGTCCGGACACATAGGGCTATTATACAGGGTGGCCCAAAAGTCTGGACACATAGGGCTATTATTATAGAGGGTGGCCCAAAAGTCAGCACATATCGCATTATTACGCGCAGCATGATGGTTTCTCAAGGAGCTTTGTAACCAACGTCACGCGAACTCCGCTCATCCTCGGCTTTTATCTGGCCATTGAATAAAGGTGGCGGTGACCGCATCGTCATCGCGCGGCTCCTGCAGACGCGCTTCTGCGGCCGTCTGGAACGTTCTTCCCTCCTTGTATTAGGAAGTCAATGAGAGCTGTGATGCACTTTTCCACCTCTAGATTGAAAACTAATTTCTTTAGGACTGCTTGCTGTGTTTCGTGCTGTGGTCCCCCCCCCCCCCCTCACCTCCGATTGGCGCGCTTGGCTACGTACGGTGCGAAAGAAGTGCATGCATTGGCATACGTTGTTATGGTGAGGGTACAGTCACGGTTGAGGGTTACTGTTAGGCATGGGCTACGGTTAGGCGTGGGTCACTGTTATATTGTCATGGTTAGGGTCAGAGATAGGCTTGGAGATTAAGTAGGGTTAGAGCTAGGAGCCGTCCATAAATGACGTCACGCGATTTTGGACGATTTTTGACCCCCCCCCCCCTTCGTCACACGGCGTCACAAAAAGTCAGACCCCCCCTCAAATATGACGTCACAAACCTCTGCCCCCCCCCAAAAATATATAAAACATGCTTCAAATCACTTTAAACTATTGTCATTGTAGTGCGTGTTTAATGTGGCGCTGCACACTGATGTTGTAGGCGAAAACATTAATTAAGAAGTCTATTTAATTAAGTAGAACGTGTTGTCTATATTTATTTAAAGTTGCGCATTTTGACGTGACGTCACATTTCTCAAACACCCCCCTCCCCCCTCGTCACACATCGTCACAAATATCTGACCCCCACCCCCCTAGGTGCGTGACGTCATTTATGGGCAGGCACCTTAGGGTTATGTACGCATGTAAGTTGAACGTCTTTCGCACCGTACGTAGCCAATCGTAGGGGTCAGAGTTCTGCGTTAAGCATTGGGTCACAGTTACGAATCCATGACGCATTGGCGGATCCATTTGGCGTAAAACGCAGCGAGAGAGAGAGAGACAGACAACGGAGACACGGGCACCACTCTGTGTCAAAGCCATTTCAAATTTATTACCGTCCATTCCGTGTGTTCAATTCTCGTGTTTTACAAAAAAGAAATACTGTCACGTTCTATAACGCAATGCACAGCGGAGAATGTCACGTGCACACGTGATGGGCTGTCCGTTGTCGTGAGCCGTCAAGTCACAAGTGCCCCCTCCCCCCCCAATTTACAGACCAATTAAGAGCCCCCTCCCCCCCAATTTACAGACCAATTAAGAGCCCCCACCCCCAATTTACAGACCAATTAAGAGCCCCCACCCCCCACAACCAACCCCTACACCATCACATTTCACCTGCCGTAGTTGTACTGCGCAACGACAAATCGACAACACTGGCTGTACACACACACACACGTGGTGTACACACAACACTGGCTGTACACACACACACACACACGTGGTGTACACACACACAACACTGGCTGTACACACACACGCACACGTGGTGTACACACAACACTGGCTGTATACACACACACACGTGGTGTACACACAACACTGGCTGTATACACACACACGTGGTGTACACACACACACACACGTGGTGTACACACAACACTGGCTGTATACACACACACACGTGGTGTACACACAACACTGGCTGTACACACACACACACACGTGGTGTACACACAACACTGGCTGTACACACACACACACGTGGTGTACACACAACACTGGCTGTATACACACACACGTGGTGTACACACACGTGGTGTACACACAACACTGGCTGTACACACACACACGTGGTGTACACACAACACTGGCTGTATACACACACACGTGGTGTACACACAACACTGGCTGTACACACACACACACACGTGGTGTACACACAACACTGGCTGTACACACACACACACACGTGGTGTACACACAACACTGGCTGTATACACACACACGTGGTGTACACACACACACGTGGTGTACACACAACACTGGCTGTACACACACACACACGTGGTGTACACACACGTGGTGTACACACAACACTGGCTGTATACACACACACGTGGTGTACACACACACGTGGTGTACACACAACACACGTGGTGTACACACAACACTGGCTGTATACACACACACGTGGTGTACACACAACACTGGCTGTATACACACACACGTGGTGTACACACACGTGGTGTACACATACACACGTGGTGTACACACAACACTGCCTGTACACACACACACGTGGTGTACACACACACACGTGGTGCACACACAACACTGGCTGTATACACACGTGGTGTGCACGCACACGTGGTGTACACACACACACGGTAAAATAAATACATGAACGTTCAGGAGAAATTACCATTCCGTATATTGTACTTTAAAAAACACACAAACACACAAACGCACGAGACAATTCGAAACGTAATAGTACAAAAAAATATAATAATCGAACACCGTTTCGTCTCTTGAAGGTACACGGCGGACAAAACTGCGTACGAGAATGAGGCTAGCGAACTTAAAGTACTTTACTGTGCAGTAACGCACTCGGTGTAGACAGACGAGAGCGAGAGAGAGAGAAATTAACACGACGAACTAAGAACGCCGGGCTGGATTTTCTCTCTCGCTGAACACTGCGACTCGAGAGCACGAGAGGAGACACAGAGGGTGGACACCGTGACCCACGCGTGGCCCTGCCGCGAAGTCGTCCACACGGACGGACCGCGCACCCCACGCGGGGCTGGAGGCAGAGCGGGGGGGGTGCAGAGCCACCGGCGCGGGCGATACACCTGGGGGAGGGGGGGGCACAGATGAGCCCCCCCCCCCACCCCAACACAGACGAGGGAAGGGTGGCACAGACGAGAAGGGGGACCCCACAGACGAGGGGGTACCCACAACAGACGAGACTCCCCCCCCCCACAGACGAGGGGGTACCCCCCTACAAACGAGGGGGTACTCCCCCCCCCCACAGACGAGGGGTAGCCTCCCCCACAGATAACCACTTTATTATTGTCACTCGTGCATAGGGGAGAGCCCCCCACCACCGGACCGCACCACCCCCACCCCACGTGACATTCTGCCCCCCCCCCACTTCCACGGGGGGGGGGGGGGGGTAGACTCAAGGATCGTCCGTGGGGTCCCCGGGGGTGTCGGTGACCACCACCACCACCACGGCGATCGGCGCTTCGCCTGTCGGAGGCCCTCTCGCTCCGGTGGTGCCCACGTGGCCACGGCCGTGGTTGTGACCACCGCGTCCCTGGGAGGGCGAGCGGGAGAGATGTCGCCGCGCTGTGTGTACACACGTGCGTCCAACTTTCTTTCGGCACCGTACGTAGCCAACCGTGCTAATGGTTATCGGAGGTGCGGGGTGAAGAAGGGCCGCAGACTAAACACGTGAAAGGAGTTCAAATGTTTCTTGGCGTTGGGTTTTCACACCTGATGACGACCGTTTATGGTCGAAACGTCGTGAGAATTTTTGTTGTTTTATATATATTTTATTATTTTATGGTTTCCCTTCAACGTGACTTTACCGAAGGAGCTAAGAATATGAGTTCTAAAGAGGTGAGTTTGTCAACCCAGATGGTGATTTAAAAGCGCGCAGCTCCCAGCGGCTTCCTAACATCGGCAAGGGAAGAGCGTTCCAGACGGCCGCAGAAGCGGCGCATCTGAAAGCGCCGCGCGATGATGCGGTGACCGCCGCCTTTGTTCGATGGCTCAGCCACAGAAGCCGCTGCCGCTGCTGCTGGGATGACCGGGGTGTCGCGTGATGATGGTTCATGATCCTCGCGTTGTTCCGGCAGCTTCCGTAACAACGCGGATCGAAACGTCGGGACATTTAAAAAAAAAACTTCGTGCGTGTTAGTTCGTCGTCCTCCCCCCCCCTCCTCCGCCTATCCCCGGCACCTCCGATTACCACGGTTGGCTACGTACGGCGCGAAAGAAGTCGAACGCACGTCCGTACGTCTGTCACGTTGGCGCACACCGCGAAGAACCGTCGACGCGGCAATGACGGCCGCGTGTTATGGCAAAATGAAGTGGCGCTGGCGGAGTGGAGGCAGAGGGCAACGCTTAGCATGGTTTATGATTATCAACCCAACCACAGCGCCCCCCCCCCCACCTGCCCCGCCCCCCCCCCCCGCCCGCCCTGCGCTTCCAAGATTCCCCTTCCATCGACCTCTTCGCGAACCCAACGCACGCTGATCCACACCGCAGCCGCCGCCACCACCACCACTACCACCACCGTCACAAACTCGTGGTGGCATCACCACCTCTCATCACCATCATCATTTTTTTTTATACCGTGCCAACCATGCAGGAAACCACTGATGCGGTTAGGACCATGAGGTGGCGATTATGATACCAAATAATGGTGCCAATTTTGTTTTTGTCCAAGACAGCTTTCAATTAATCTCAAAAGACTTTTTTTTAATGAGGGTACTGCTGCTACCTTGGGATACTTGGCGAATTGCTTTTCAGTTGAGAGTTTGGCTTCCTGTGAGAGGACAACCGCAGGGGCCCTGGAGGAAACCCAGCGAGCATTAGAAGATAGGTGGTGACACTGCTGCGCCAGGTCCCGGTTGTCACCTGGTAACCCCGAGCCTACGACCCCTGGCAAGCCCTGGTGGTCACCCGTCCAAGTACCGAGCAAGCGATGAACGTGGCCGCTGTTGGTTGGTCGTGGCGGTACTGGTGGTTGGTGCCCGTGATGGTGTTTTACAGGCAGCGATGGTGGTGCTGCTGCTGCTGCTGAAGGTGATGGGAGTGGTGATGGTGGTGATGTTTGTACTAATGATGGTGGTGATAGCGGTGGTGGTGGTGGTGACGCGACTGGTGATGGTTTGCGTGCCCACGGTGGTGGAGTTGGCGATCCGTGACCTCCTATCGCAGAAGCCCCACTGGCAAAAAAACAATCTTAACATCACACAAACTACTCTGTGATAAAACCATCGCGAACATTAACCAACTATAATAATAAAAACAGACGAGGCTACAGGCTACACACATGGTTCCGGTTAGCGTTGAAGTAACAACTGCTCCGGTTAAAACTCCTGATTGATTGTTAAAACACCAGGGCTCAATTTCACTCGGAGCTGTCCAGGGCTGAGCTCCAGAAAATTTACCCCTGCCAGGTTTCTGGAATGGCACCAGGGGGGGGGGGGGGAGAGGGGGTGCGAGAGAATGGGATGGGATTTGGGGGGGGGGGGGGCCTAGAAAATATCCCGTGAGAAATTAAGCCCTGATCGAAAATTGACCTCGAATGTCGACGTCGTTCCCACCTACGCTTCGTCCAAGATCGAACCGTTCGTCCATGGCTTGTTCAAAGGTCAAGTGACTCTTGACAACCACCGATAAAGGAATTCAAACACGGTGGTGCAAAGTTTATCATTTAAAAGCCTAAAACAATGCCGTCGTATGCGGTGGTTGTTTTATTTTATTTTTGCTGCTGCTGCGAGAGAAAGGGAAAAAAAAAACCCAACGCACCCAAGAAAATTCACTGAAAACCAGCCTCATTTTTTTTGGAGGTCAAGAGGTCGTCACGGTGAAAGCCATCCGGGGGCCTCGCCACCGCTTCCCTGCGCGCGTCAACTGCTTTCAGCGCAGCGCACCGGAAACTTTTTTGGGTTCCGCTGGAACCGAGGTTGCACGCTGCCAGGCCGCCACGTCCAACGCAATCGGGTCGCGCGTTAATAAAATGTAGTCCGCTTGAATAATACTTGAATGCTAGAAGGTAACATCGCATCGGACGCACACCCGGACCCTCAGTCGTACCGGGGGTCAGCGATCCCACGGCTCGCTGCTCATAGTCACACTGTCGCCGCGTGCATCTTAGCCGCCCTGATCGCGTTCGGGAGAGAGGGGCGATTTCTTTTTTTCAACTTGCCCACGGCGGGGTTTGGAGTATATTTGGAGTTTGTGTGTGTGTCTCTCTCATTATGAAGGTGGCTAGGAGATGTTAACTACCTCGCCTGGTACACAGGAAGGAGGTCGTGGGTTCGATCCCGACCCTCACGCCCGCTATATATTTGAAGTTTACATATTATTTCCGTGGTCGCGTGGATTTTTTCCCTCCACATTTAGAATGGGGCATTTAGAGTATTTGGCTCCTGTAAATTTGCACACGGTAAGCCATCACTTCGTTGAGCCGTCATCTGTGATGGCCAGGTCGCTTCTGAAAAAGATCGACACAGCAGCTCAGTGGGGCCTTACCTGGTAAAATAAAAAAAATAGTTCATAGTTATAACTAGCGGGACATTCAGAGGGTTGGACAGCCAAACGACGCACGATGGCAGATCCCCAGCGGATAGACAAGACGGACAACCACGGACAAACGTGGGACTTGAGAGGTGGAGCTGTGGACGGACCGGTCCATTGTGATCGCCAGGGAGTCTGGAGTGAACCACTTCAGCAGGAGGGGGGGGGCGGGTAAGAACGGACCCCCCCACCCCGTTTGAATTTTAAAAAATGCATTTTGGCATCTCTGATTGGCTGCTGTTTGGCAAAAAACCGGCAGCCAATCACGGGGGCAGGGGGGGGTGACGAGGAACCGAGGGGGGCTCCCGACGCTGTTTTGATCATCAGCTGTCGCACCCGACGAGGCCTCGCACGTTCAGTCCGTCGCGGCTGGTAACGTTGCAGAGACGTTTTTAAAAAAAATCTCTCCCGTAGCTGACGTCAGGGGACGCCCGCATTGCACGCGGGCACCACGGTGGCTATGAGATGTTAACTACCTCGCCTGGTGTACAGGAGGTCGTGGGTTCGGTCCCGACCCTGACGCCTGCTGCTGTATATTTGGAGTTTGCGTGTCTCTCTCATCATCATCATCACGGTGGCTAGGAGATGTTAACTACCTCGCCTGGTGTGCAGGAAGTCGTGGCTTCGATCCCGACCCTGACGACGCCTGCTGCTGCTGTATATTTGGAGTCTTCGTGTCTCTCTCTCCCCGTGGTCGCGTGGATTTTTCTCCGGGGTCCTCCGGGTTTTCCCTCCACATTGAGAATCGGCATCACCACGCGTTTAGAGTGTTTGGCTGCCGCTATAAATGTCCACGTGATGACGATAAACCACCACTTCGCCTGGCTGTCATTTTTGGGCAGGTCACTTCTAAAAAAGACATACACAGCTCAGTGGGGCCTCACCTGGTAAAAAAAACCCCCATCAGTTGAATAGTTTAGTTTAGTATTCTCTACAACGACACTCGATTATTGTTTTGCGTTAGCGTGCCAGCACCCAGTTCGGTGTCCCGCTCGGACCCGCCGTCTAACAGAGAGGGTCCTTGCCAAAGAAACATCTGGGCAGTTCACCAGGACTGGTTCAAGCAAAGCCTGAGCGTGCTGCTGATGAGACACTGAATGTCAAAACCGGTCCTTGCCAACACACATCTGGGCAGTTCACCGGCATTGGTTGAAGCAAAGCCTGAGCGTGCTGCTGATGAGACACTGAATGTCAAAACCGGTCCTTGCCAACACACATCTGGGCAGTTCACCGGCATTGGTTCAAACAAAGCCTGAGCGAGCTGCTGATGAGACACTGAATGTCAAAACCGGTCCTTGCCAACACACATCTGGGCAGTTCACCGGCATTGGTTCAAGCAAAGCCTGAGCGTGCTGCTGCTGCTTGCTGATGAGACATCGTTTAGCTGAAACCGGTCCAGAGTTTTTTTGTGTGATAAGATAGATGCACCCCCACCCCCCACCCGCCCCCCCCCCCCCCCCCCCCCCCCCCCAGAATCTTGTGGCTGATGGGATGAGCAGAAAAACACTTTGACGCTTCAGGAGGAGAGACACACACAGGAGGGGGAGACGAATTGTCCGCTGTGTTTGGTTACTTACATTCCTCGCCACCGGACGCTCCGCGATTATTACGCGTCGGTCATTAGCATCGAAGTCATGAGCGAAGAGTTCAGGTTAGATCGAGGCTCGCTAAAACGCAACGCGACTCCACACAGGTCGATTCATTAATTCCCCCCAACGAAATTCACCACGCTCGCTAATTTTTGGCGGCGGCGTCGGCGTCTCTCTCTCTCTCTCTCAGCGCCCTTAAAACACTTTTACAGCAATACTGTACGAATATGGCCCACTTAAATCCTTAAATAATAAAGATAATACTGCAATAATCATAATTCATACGAGAAATACTGTAGTAATATAATAATACTGTAGTAATCGCGGCAACAGGAACAGGTTTGGCTCATAGCGGACACGTGTCTGTGAAGACGCTCACACGGGGGGCAGAGACGAAGCTACAGAGACATGGAGACAGAGGGAGAGACAGGGAGAGAGAGAGACATGGAGAGACAGAGACAGAGAGAGACGAAGCTACAGAGACATGGAGACAGAGGGAGAGACAGGGAGAGACAGGGACATGGAGAGACAGAGAGACGGAGCTACAGAGAGAGGGAGACAGAAGGAGAGATAGGGATAAGGAGGGACATGGAGAGAGACAGGGAGATTTGGGGACAGACGGGGGAGGGACACACGCGGGTCCCGTGCTCGGACAGGCCGGGAGAGCGCTCGAGGCAACGGGGACCTCTCGCAGTGCCACCTCGGACGTCAACAAACGCGGCCACGCCAACAAGAGCGATGGCACGGAGGCTACCCTCCGGGACGAATGGCACAAACACACACACACACATGCACACGAAGACAACGACCCCCACCGTGTACGTTTAACAGACTGTAGGGGCAAGTGCTGTTAGCGAGGAGCACGGCGCACGAGGGGGTGGGTGGCCAGCGCCACGCCCGGCCGCCTTTGTCTCCCTCGCGGTGAAGTTCATTACATATCGCACCGGGTACTCATTTGAGGCCGAGTCGACCTAGGGTAAGCCTACAACTGGTTCAGATATTTGCCACCGATGTTGGCCGTGAGTGGGAATCGAACTCGGGTCTCCGGGTTCGTAGCGCAGTGCGCTAACCGCTGCACCACCGCTCCCCATAGATACACACAAAGACAAAGGCCCCCCAGTATAGCCTTAACAAACTGTTGGGGCAAGTGCTGTTAGCGAGGAGCACCTACGAAGGCCGGCACGGCACACGAGGGGGTGGGTGGCCAGCACCACGCTCGACCGCCTTTGTCTCCCCAGTGGCGATATTCACACACCGCACCCAGGTACTCATTTGAAGCTGAGTCGACCTAGGGGAGGCCTTTGACCGGCTCAGATAATCGTCACCGGTATTGGGCCGCGAGCGGGAATCGAACTCGGATCACCGGGTTCGTAGCGCAGCGTAGCGCTAACCGCTGCGCCACCGCTCCCCCCCCCCCACACACACACACACAAGTCCACAGATGCACGCGCACTTGCACTCACGTGTTCCATTGCTCGTGGTGCGAGTCGCTGTGTATTCACTGGGTGCACTTTTCTGAACGCAACTGGACGTCTCAACGACACTGAGCAGCAATGCTCACTTGCTAAAAACAATTGCAACGGAAGCGGAACTGATTGAAAACCAGACACACAGACACTGGCCCCTGGCAACTCCTCCTTCAGTTTCTGACACAAGGACAAAGATCCCACGCGTAGCCTCAACAGACTGCTGGGGCAAGGGCGCCGTTTAGCGAGCGCATAGGAAGGCGGGCACGACACGCGGAGGAGGTGGGTCGCCAGCGCCACGCCCGGCTGCCTTTTGTCTCCCCGGCAGCGACGCTTTACACACCGCACCAGGTACTAATTTGAGGCTGCGTCGACCTAGGAGAGGCCCAGAACAGATTCAGATACTCGTCACCGGGTGTTTGGCCCTGAGCGGGAATCGAACGCGGGTCGCCGAGGTTCGTAGCGGGACGCGTCGACCGCTTACACTACCGCTGACGCAGAGACAAAGATCCCCCGTACGGGCTACGCAGGCTGTTTGGGGCAAGTGCAGTCCGCGCACGCACGCACACACGTGGCGTGGATGGGGAACGGGGAAGTGTGTGTGTCGCGAGGGCACGCGGTCAGCTGTGGTGCCACCTCCTCCGAGCGAAGAGGTGCCGGCTACCAACAACTGCCACCCCACTCCCCTATCCGGCAGCTGTTGACAGAAGAGAAGACGTTGAGATTTATAGGTCGCTTGAAACGAGCTCCAAGCTTACCACCACCACCAGCGTCATCCAATATCAATCATCATCATCATCATCATCCATAATCTACCATCATCATCATCCATCACCATGATCATCATCAGCCAACATCGCCCTTCATCATCAATTTCATCCATCATCAGCCATCCTCATAACCATCATCACCTCTCTCCAGAGTAGACACAGAGATTGCTACACCGCGGGAGATGAACGCCCCGAACATCCACAATCGCCCAAGTTTGTTCCGCTCCGCTCAGACCACGATGTGGTCGCGACCCCGAGTGCACACAGCTACTGGACCTGGGGTGGGGGGGGGGGGTCAGGGGTCAGGGGTCAAGGGGTTCAGAGGGAGGCAGTTTCCTGAGCAGAATGGCTTTCTTTTGGGTAAAAGCAGTGAAGATCTCACGTCGAGTCCTGCGACTACCCTACAGCTACATCGTCATCTACATCATCGTCATCGAACATCGTCTTAACAGTATCGGGGTCATCTCGGTTAAAAAATATACGGACGATGCACGCCATGGGTGGGGGGGGGGGGGGGTAAACCTCATCGAGGGTCGTTGAGCGCGGCGTTTTTACCGGGATTAAACGTGCACTCTAAGGTTACCGTAATACTCATATAACAACAACAACAATAATAATACATCCTTCATTTGAGCCCAGGGGCAGTGCCTCGCTAGGCTCTCACGACGTTGGCAGGGAGGATTTCTTTCTTGCCCGATGAATGTTTTTGTTTTGTTTAAAAAAAAAAAGGGGAAAAGACGGAACAACATTTGTTGTTTGCACGCGCGCGGAGAATCCCGCGGAAATCTTCGCCATGCATACGAGGAGCGGGAGGAGGAGGAGCAGGAGGAGGAGGAGCAGGAGGAGGAGCAGGAGCAGGAGGAGGAGGAGGAGCAGGGGGGGGGTGATGGGTCTCCCCGTCCCGGACACTGCAACCCGCTTACTGCACTGCCGCCTCCGGGCCCACGGTCTGCGTGGCCACGGCCTCACCCCCTGCCGGGCGGTCAGGAGTTGGTGGTGACTCGGTTCGCGGCCAGGGCGTCTGGTGACTGTTAGTAGTGGGGGGGGGGGCAGGGGGGCACGTGGTGACCGTGGACCGGACTCGGACTGCAGGAGCAGAGCGGCAGGGAGGGAGGAGAGGGGGGGGGGTGGGGCTCTCAACGATTGAGCTCACAGCGCAGAGCAAACGCGGGGAGAGGAGGAAACCTCGCGGTCGTGTCCGTCGGTTCGCACCAGACCCCCCCCCCCACGGCTCTCTCTACAGACGACAGACGTGGCCACGCACGCACGGCCGCCAACGACCGCGATAACAAACGGAGGGCGAGGACACGGCGATGGCGCGCGATGTCGCCGGAGGATCAGGAGGAGGAGCAGGAGGATCAGGATCAGCAGGAGGAGGATCAGGAGGAGGTGGAGGAGGAGGAGCAGGAGGCATCGTCGGGAGTGGCACGGAGGGGGGGGGGGGTGTGCGGCGTGGCGGTGTTGCCGGTGGCAAGCGAGGCAAGGGCCAGGAGCCGGCGCTGGGGTTGGAAGCTCTCGCCCACCGTGCACAGTGCCACGACGAGAACCGCCGCGACCATCGCCGCTGCGATCGCCGCCGGCGTTCACGGGGGCACGGCGCTTGTTCCCGCTCGGGCAACCCCGCCGATGAGGGTCTCTGCTTCCGCCTCATCGGCGCCCTCCTCTCCACCCACAGCCGCCTCCTCCTCCTCCATCTCCACCTCCTCCTTCTGCTCCTCCATCTGCCCCTCCCGCTCCTCCTCCTCGTGGGAGATCGGCGGGCTCCCCGGGTCTCCACCCGCATGGATCGCCTCTTCCAGTTCCTCCGCCTCCTCCTCTTCGATGACTACGAGAACACCCTCCTCCTCCTCCTCCTCCTCGTCATGGTGCTCCCCCCGGATGGCCGGGTGCTCCGAGGCGGTGGTGGCGGCCGCGGCAGTGAGGAGGAGCTTGATGAAGTCGGCGTCGTCGTCGGCCGGCGTGGCGTCGCCCGCGGCGTCGCCGCCGCGGGCGACGATGGCGCCGAGCTCTTCTCCCGGCTCGTCCGGAACGATCGTCACCATCACGCCGTCGTCGGTCGGAGGGTGATCCTCCCGCGGGAACTCCTCCACCTCCTCCGCCGCCTCGTCGCCGTCGTCGTTGTCGTCTTCTTCAGTCCGGGGGCGTCCCGCTCCAGGCGTCTCCATCTGTGACGTGTCCATTAGATGTGAATCTTCATCGCCTGCCGCTGCTCCTGCCGCTGCCGCTCGTCCCAGCTGCTCCCCCTCCTCCCCCTCCTCCTCCTCCTCTCCCAGCTCTTTGGGTTCCTCCAAGAGGTCCGCCCCCTCCACTCCCCCATCGACTTCCCGTTCATCCCCAACTCCCTGTGCCCGCCGCAGTCCCCGCTCCACTCCAAATGCGCGTTCCTCCTCTCCCAGTTCCAGCGACGCTTCTCCCCGCACACCTCCTCCGTCTCCACCTCTTCCACCTCCTCCGTCTCCTCTTTCCCCTCCTCCGCCATAAGCCTCACCAGCCGCTGCCTCTCCCTGTCCGCCGTTCCAGGCGCCCTCCCCCATCCAGGGCACCACGGCTCCTCCCTCCACCGTCGCCCACGATGATGGCTCGACCCGACCGCTCGCCTCCCCGCTCACCTCATCTCTCACCACCTCTTCGCTCTTCACCTCCACCTTGATCGACGTGCAAGTGCCAACATCCTCTAAGTAAATTCCCTCCTCCTCCTCCTCCTCATCCTCTTCTTCCTCCTCCTCCTCCTCCTCGTCATCCTCCTCCTCCTCGTCCTCCACGTCCTCTTCATCATCCACCTCGTTACCCAGGCCGGCCCCGTTGTGCAGAAGCATCACGGCGACGTCGCCGGGCGCGGCGAGACTCTGGGGCGTCCCCACGGCGACGCCGGCGTCGCCGGCGTCGCCGGCGGCCACGGCGCCCGCGGCGGCGAGGCCGTCGGCACCGCCGCCGCCGCCGCCGCCGCCGTCGCGGTTGCAGTAGGAGTAGCGGTGGTTCATGTGCTGCGAGTAGGAGCCCGAGTGCGAGAAGCGCTTGCCGCAGCGGTCGCAGCGGTACGGCTTCTCACCCGAGTGCAGCCGCGAGTGCTCGATCAGGTGGTGCTTGTGCTTGAAGGCCTTGGCGCACACCTGGCACTCGTGCGGCCGCTTACCTGCTCGGGGGGGCGGCAGGGGCGGGGGGGGGGGGGCGAACGCACGAAGGTGCGGAGGGTTTTGAGGGGGCGCGAGTTGTTCCGTCGTCTCCTCCCGAGCGACGAGGCAGCGGTTCCCGTCGACCGTTGCCTCGCTGCCCGCGGCGCCGTTGCCCCGTTACCGGCCCTCTCGTTATCCGTCATCTCCCCGATTGTGATTAAGGGCGCCACGGTGGCTAGGAGATGTTAACTCCCTCTCCTGGTGTACAGGAGGTCGTGGGTTCGGTCCCGGACCTCACGCCCGCTGCTGTATATTTGAAGGTTACATATTACCTCCTTGGCCACGTGGGTTGTTCTCTAGGTCCTCTGGTTTTTCCCCTCCACAATAAGAATTGACATCAGGCGTTTAGAGTATTTGGCCGCTATGAATTTCCACGTGAACCGTGACGTGATGGAGATGATGATGTCATGATCCGTGATGGAGATGATGGAGACCATGTCATGATCCGTGACGTGATGGAGATGATGATGTCATGATCCGTGACGTGATGGAGATGACGGAGATGATGATGTCATGACCCGTGACGTGATGGACATGACGGAGACGATGACGAAGTGACGGCCCGTGGGGTGACGGCCCGTGGCCTCGTTACCTGTGTGCTCGTACTTGTGTCTCAGCAGCGAGCTGCTCTTCTGGAAGGTTTTGTCGCACAGATCGCACGGGAATCCGTGCGCCTCGCCCCCCGCCAGGCCCCCCGCCACGCCCCCCACCAGGCCCCCCACCAGGCCCCCCACCACGGCGCCCCCCGCGGCGCCCGCCAGCGGCAGGGCCCCGCCGCCGCCGATGCTTCCCGCTCCGAGGGCGCCCAGTCGCCCCAGCAGGCGAGTTCCACCGCCCGAATCCGAATCCGTGAGCTCGTCCGGTCCGGAGGCCGCGCCATCCTCGGCCTGAGGAACATTTCCCGCGCCCGCAAGCACAAAGATCACGCCCCCCCCCGTGAAACCGCCTCCACTCCGCGTGCGGCCCACGCGGAGCCGGGCTTCGCAAGGCCCACCGCCGGCACAAATATATATTCGTCGCAGATACATCGGCGTACAGAGGCAAAGGCACAGCGTGAGCACGCACGCGCTGAGACGCAATCAATGATGACGGAGGTGGGCAGATGGCTCGGTGGTCAAGAGCGCTGAGGCGGCATGGCGGAGAGCCTGGGTTCGAACCCAGGTTTCATAAACCTGCGATTAAACGGGGTTCTTGAGTGTAGTGAGTTGATGCTCCCAGACCAGTCACCAATAACTAACATACAGAACCGTAGACCTACATAGAGACCCGTAGACCTACATAGAGACCCGTAGACCTACATAGAGACCCATAGACCTACATAGAGACCCATAGACCCACATAGATACTCGTAGACCTACATAGAGACCCGTAGACCTACATAGAGACCCGTAGACCTACATAGAGACCCGTAGACCTACATAGAGACCCGTAGACCTACATAGAGACCCATAGACCTACATAGAGACCCATAGACCTACATAGAGACCCATAAACCCACACAGAGACTCGTAGACCTACATAGAGACCCGTAGACCTACATAGAGACCCGTAGACCTACATAGAGACCTGTAGACCTACATAGAGACCCGTAGACCTACATAGAGACCCATAGACCTACATAGAGACCCATAAACCCACATAGAGACCCGTAGACCTACGTAGAGACCCGTAGACCTACATAAAGACCCGTAGACCTACGTAGAGACCCGTAGACCTACATAGAGACCCATAGACCTACATAGAGACCCGTAGACCTACATAGAGACCCATAGACCTACATAGAGACCCGTAGACCTACATAGAGACCCGTAGACCTACATAGAGACCCGTAGACCTATGCAGAGACCCGTAGACCTACATAGAGACCCATAGACCTACATAGAGACTCATAGACCCACATAGAGACTCATAGACCCACATAGAGACCCGTAGACCTACATAGAGACTCATAGACCCACATAGAGACCCATAGACCTACATAGAGACCCATAGACCCACATAGAGACTCGTAGACCTACATAGAGACCCGTAGACCTACATAGAGACCCGTAGACCTACATAGAGACCTGTAGACCTACATAGAGACCCGTAGACCTACATAGAGACCCATAGACCTACATAGAGACCCATAAACCCACATAGAGACCCGTAGACCTACGTAGAGACCCGTAGACCTACATAAAGACCCGTAGACCTACGTAGAGACCCGTAGACCTACATAGAGACCCATAGACCTACATAGAGACCCGTAGACCTACATAGAGACCCATAGACCTACATAGAGACCCGTAGACCTACATAGAGACCCGTAGACCTACATAGAGACCCGTAGACCTATGCAGAGACCCGTAGACCTACATAGAGACCCATAGACCTACATAGAGACTCATAGACCCACATAGAGACTCATAGACCCACATAGAGACCCGTAGACCTACATAGAGACTCATAGACCCACATAGAGACCCATAGACCTACATAGAGACCCATAAACCCACATAGAGACTCGTAGACCTACATAGAGACCCGTAGACCTACATAGAGACCCGTAGACCTACATAGAGACCTGTAGACCTACATAGAGACCCGTAGACCTACATAGAGACCCATAGACCTACATAGAGACCCATAAACCCACATAGAGACCCGTAGACCTACGTAGAGACCCGTAGACCTACATAGAGACCCATAGACCTACATAGAGACCCGTAGACCTACATAGAGACCCGTAGACCTACATAGAGACCCGTAGACCTATGCAGAGACCCGTAGACCTACATAGAGACCCATAGACCTACATAGAGACTCATAGACCCACATAGAGACTCATAGACCCACATAGAGACCCGTAGACCTACATAGAGACTCATAGACCCACATAGAGACCCATAGACCTACATAGAGACCCATAAACCCACATAGAGACTCGTAGACCTACATAGAGACCCGTAGACCTACATAGAGACCCGTAGACCTACATAGAGACCTGTAGACCTACATAGAGACCCGTAGACCTACATAGAGACCCATAGACCTACATAGAGACCCATAAACCCACATAGAGACCCGTAGACCTACGTAGAGACCCGTAGACCTACATAAAGACCCGTAGACCTACGTAGAGACCCGTAGACCTACATAGAGACCCATAGACCTACATAGAGACCCGTAGACCTACATAGAGACCCATAGACCTACATAGAGACCCGTAGACCTACATAGAGACCCGTAGACCTACATAGAGACCCGTAGACCTATGCAGAGACCCGTAGACCTACATAGAGACCCATAGACCTACATAGAGACTCATAGACCCACATAGAGACTCATAGACCCACATAGAGACCCGTAGACCTACATAGAGACTCATAGACCCACATAGAGACCCATAGACCTACATAGAGACCCGTAGACCCACATAGAGACTCATAGACCCACATAGAGACCCGTAGACCTACATAGAGACTCATAGACCCACATAGAGACCCATAGACCTACATAGAGACTCGTAGACCTACATAGAGACCCGTAGACCTACATAGAGACCCGTAGACCTACATAGAGACCCGTAGACCTACATAGAGACTCATAGACCAACATAGAGACCCATAGACGTACATAGAGACTCATAGACCTACATAGAGACCCATAGACCCACATAGAGACCCGTAGACCTACATAGAGACTCATAGACCTACATAGAGACCCATAGACCTACATAGAGACGCAAAGACCTACATAGAGACCCATAGACCCACATAGAGACCCGTAGACCTACATAGAGACCCATAGACCTACATAGAGACCCATAGACCTACATAGAGACTCACAGACCTACATAGAGACCCATAGACCTACATAGAGACCCGTAGATCTACATGGAGACCCGTAGACCTACATGGAGACCCGTAGACCTACATAGAGACCCATAGACCTACATAGAGACCCATAGACCTACATGGAGACTCATAGACCTACATAGAGACCCGTAGACCTACATAGAGACCCGTAGACCTACATAGAGACCCGTAGATCTACATGGAGACCCGTAGACCTACATAGAGACCCGTAGACCTACATAGAGACCCATAGACCTACATAGAGACCCATAGACCTACGCAGAGACCCGTAGACCTACATAGAGACCCATAGACCTACATGGAGACCCGTAGACCTACATAGAGACCCATAGACCTACATAGAGACCCGTAGACCTACATAGAGACCCATAGACCTACGTAGAGACCCGTAGACCTACATAGAGACTCATAGACCTACATAGAGACCCATAGACCTACGTAGAGACCCGTAGACCTACATAAGAGACTCATAGACCTACATAGAGACTCATAGACCTACATAGAGACCCACATACCTACATAGAGACCCGTAGACCTACATAGAGACCCGTAGACCTACATAGAGACCCATAGACCTACATAGAGACCCATAGACCTACATAGAGACCCGTAGACCTACATAGAGACCCATAGACCTACATAGAGACCCACAGACCTACATGGAGACCCGTAGACCTACAAAGAGACCCATAGACCTACATAGAGACCCATAGACATTCAAATAGAAACATAGACTCTCATGGTTTAACATGTAGGAGGCTCTTGACTTAAAGCTTTCGTGACTGCAGGAATTCATATTCTTTGGGTCTTTCGGTAGTCACGTAGATAGGTTCAAATAAATTACAAAAAACTACCTGCGATGTTTCGATCGCAACACAAGCGTCCGTCATCATGTTGAGAAAAAAGGGGGGCTTTTTTTCTCCAGGTGATGACGACCGCTTGTGTTGCGATCGGAACGTCGTAGTTTTTTGTTATTTTTTTAACCTGTCTAGGTGACTTTACCGAAAGACCCAAAGAAAATGTAGGAGGCTTTCGCGACCAAATATCATCCACAATAAGGGTTTTTGAGTTAAATTGCGAACATATAAATGCGTCGTTAAACCCGCCACCGCCCGACACAGCCAATTAGTAAGTTTAGTGTTACGTAAACAGAACGTGGCCAATTCGATACTAGCACAGCACTAACCGGTTGTGTGTCGGGGAGAAAAACCCACTACAACTCATGATAAACGTTTTTTGGGTTAGATCGCGTTATTTAGAAATGTGTCGTAACCCTCCACCACCCGACACGGCCAATCGGCAAAAAAAAAGTGTCACGTTGACAAAAGACAAAAATAGTTCACTACTTTAGCCCACCGGTGTGTTGAAGAGTGAAGCCACGACATTTACAGTTTTTTTAGTACGACGTTTCGCTGGTAAATACATCCAGCATCGTCGGGCAAATTGCCCGATGTTTTTTTGCTGATTGGCCATGTCGGGTGGTGGAGGGTTACGACACATTTAGAAATAACGCGATCTAACCCAAAAACTCTCATCAAGAATAATGTTGGTCGCGAAAGCCTACGCGTTAAACTAACCCACTACGACGTTTACAATTCCGAGGACCGTGACGTTTCGCCGGAAATTACACCAACAGCGAGCCTCCTCAGGCGACGGCCACGGTATAGATTCACGCAGACAGAGTTCCTGATTAAACCGGGATTCTCAAGCTCACAGGGAGTTGTTGGTCTCAGCCTGGCCTGGTCACCAATAATTATCGGATAACAATGAACAACAAAAAACGTCGCGTTAAACACGGTGCCACCCTTTACGTGGCAGAATCTCCTCGGCTCTCGGCTTGGCGTGCACCTCGCTCGTGGTTCCCCGCTCGGTGTGGCCGGCGAGCCCCCTCCTTCTCCCGCCCCCCCCCCCCCCCCGGCTGCCTTAAACCCAGAATCCCGCTGGTCGGGACTTGAGGTCCGCGCAAATTCTGACTCGTCACCCACCTTGCCGTTTGCGCGGCGCGCCAGGCTTCCGTTAGTCATACAACGCAAGATATTTACATTGAACGAAAAATAATCGCTTTGGCTGTCCCCGTTGGGAAAGCGCCTCCCTCTGTTCTCTACCCCGCGGAAGCAAGGAGCCACCCGAAGGAGGCAATCCCAGAGGTGGCTCCGTGACATCCGCTTCCTCGGCTCCGTTCTCCAGCACGGAGGAGAGAATGAAAAGCAATCATGGGTTTTTACCCTTTAGTGGCAATCAGAGAGGGGGTTGTGTCAATGTGGATATTCTTTGGTTCTTTCGGTAAAGCCACGTAGACAGAAAAAAAATAACAAAAAAATATGGACGTTTCGATCGCGGCGCAAGTGGACGTCTTCAGGAAAAGTGGGGGGTTGGGGGGGGGAGGTTTGAGCTTCTAAAGACGACTGCTTATAAAGGTTTGAAATGGGCTTGGCCCAAATGTCAGCAGCCAACGCCAATGCAAGCGGTGGGCAGCGACCGCGGCGGTGGTGGGCTTTCCACCAATCAGAGGGCTGTCAGGCAAGAATTAGCATGTCAATGCAAGATCGCCGGGCCTTCGACACGGCGAGTGCACGAAGGTGGCTTTGCTAACGTGTTAATATGGTCAAACGACGAATATAAACCTTTTGCAAGGGATCGGGTAAAGCATTAACCACACACGGTCCTCGTGGCAAACACGCAAACGAACGCGGCTCTGACAATAATCTACGGGCATTTGGCTTTGAAACTGATTGGGCCTACACCAGAGCCAGATGCCGTCTTCGTGGCCCAGTGTCACCACCAGTGTCAGACCAGAGAACAACGCCAAAAGGTGAACAGCACAGGGACAATGCCACACGTGTCAGCGCCGCGTTCATATTCTTGGTTCGTTCGGTAAAGTCACCACGTAGAAGGGAAACAATAAAATAATAAAAATATAAAACAGTAAAATTCTCACGACGTTTCGACTGCAACACAAAGCAATCATCATCATCATCAGGTGTGAAAACCACAGCAAGTGATGATGATTGCTTGTGTTGCAGTCGAAACGTCGTGAGAATTTTATTGTTTTATATTTGTATTATTTTATTTCCCTTCTACGTGACTTTACTGAAAGAACCAAGAATATGAATCCCTGCAGTCACGAAAGCTTTAAATCAAAATTTAAACAGATCACTCCAACACATGACGTCACCGCAAACCATCGACAACCATGACATCACTACAAGTACTGTGTGTGGTTAATGCAGCAACTTGATTCCTTGCAAAAGGTTTAATCTATTTGGTGTTTGAACATCTTAATGGTAAAACCTACTCTTATCTTTCATACTTTGATACTGGCAAAGAGGGCCCATGATACGCGACGGAGAGAGTTCCTCGCGGATTCTCGTTCCCACAGCGCAATTTCGTGGTTTGGGATTTTTTTTTAATACAAAATATTTTTAAAATAAATTGATTCTTTAACCAAACTGTGATCCTTAATCACGCCAACTGAATCGCACGGTGGGGAAGAACGAATCGATTTCGCTCTGGCCGTGTTCGTGCCGCGCGGGGTCTCACGTCAAATCCTGCCGATTCCGTCGCGGGCCGGCCGCTGGCGGCGAGCGCCGGGGCGCAGCTGTAGGTCACCGTCGTCACGCCCTGCGGCATGCCGGGCCGCGACAGCGCCGTCGCCTGCATGGGGATGCCCTCCACGAAGCCGGCCGGCCCCGGCAGGAACGTCACGATGAGCGGCGCCGACTCCAGCAGCGTGAGGTTGAAGCCCGTCGGTTCGGCGATCGACACCACGGCGCCGGCGGCGGGAGCGGGCGGCGGCGGTGCCGCCGCCGCGGCCGGCCGGCCGGCGTTCGGCGGCGCCGCCGCCAAATCGTCGGGGTCGGCAAGCTCCTCCGCCTGCGCCGCGCAGCTCCGGTCGACGGCGCCGCCGCCACCGGCTGTTTCGCCGTCGTCGGGTGCCGTCTCCTCGTCGTCGGCGCGACCGTCGCCGCCGCCGCCGCCGCCGCCGTCCTGCGGTAACTCCGGCTCCAACTTCATCCGCTTGACGCGCGGCACGGTGAGGTCCAGCGGCTGCTCGCCCGCGTCGCCGCCGGCGCCGTCTCCTTCGCCGACGACGACGGCGCCCGCCGCGTCCAGTTCCGCCAGGAGCCTCTTGAAGCCGTCTCGCCGCTCGGGCTGCGCCGGCGCCACGGGCTTGGCGCAGCCCTCGATGGCGCAGCTGCCGGCGCTGGCGCGGACCGAGGCCTCGCAGCAGCAGCCCGCCGGCACGGCGCCGGCGGGCTCGCCGGCCGAGTCGGCGCGCACCTGCTCCAGCAGCCGCGCGATGAAGCTCGACAGCTTGTGCACCTCCGTCCAGCCGGTGCCGCCGTTGCCGCCGCCGTTGTTGAGGAAGTGCGCGGGGAACGGCACCAGCTTGGACACGTCCTCGCCGCTCAGCTTCGAGTTGAGCGCCTTCAGCACCGCCAGCAGGTCCCTGATGAGGCCCACCAGGTCCGAGATGCTGCGGTCGGGGCCGCCCTCCCGCTCGGCCGGCGCAGCTGCCGGTACCGGCGCCGCGCCCCCGGTACCGGCGTCCTTAGTCCTCGGCCGGCCGGGCGAGTCGCCGGCGCCGCTCTTCGAGCGCCGTTCCGGATCCGAGTCCGGCTTGAGCACCAGCGGCGGCGGAGGCGGCGGCGGCGGCGCCGCCGTCTCCTCCTCGCCCGGACCGTGCCGGAGCCCCGGGAGCACGCCGGCGGAGCCACCTCCCGGCGCCGGCCGTGGAACGGGCGCCGCCAGCACCTGCAGAGCGACGTCGTCGAGCGGCAGGAACGGCGCCGGTCGCGGCTGCAGCGGCGGCGGCGGCGGCGGCGCCAGCTGCTGCTGCTGCTGCTGCTGCTGCGGGAGCGACACCATCCTGACGACCTCGTGGGTGCCGTCGAACTCACGCCCGAACAGCCCGCGCAGGCCCAGCAGGCCCGGGTCGACGAGCACGCCCTGCGGCACCTGCATGGCGGTGGCGCCGGCGAGGAAGGGCCCGGGCAGGCCGACGAGGTTGCCCACCACGTCCTGCGGCAGCAGCAGGCAGCCGTCGAGCTTCAGCACCTCGGGGAGGAGCTTGCCGCCGCCGCCGCCGCCGCCGCCGCTGCCGGGCACGTCCTGGAACTTGATGGGCAGTGAGAACGTGAGCTGGGAGTGAGGGTGCATCGGGATGGTGTGGGTGGTGACGGTGACGGGGTGCGGCGAACTCAAACTGGCGCCCGCCGCGCTCATGGGCAGCGCCTGGATGCTGATGGTGGACACCTGCTGCTGCTGCTGCTGCTGCTGCTGAATCGGCTGCGACACCGAGGGCAGCGGGGGCAGCGTGGGGGCGCGCGACATTATGGGTAGCGGCGCCGGCAGCGCCAGCACCGGCGGAGGAAATCGATTTCCCACCGAAGGGGCCGACACCACCGACGCCACCGAGACGGTTATCGGCGCCATCTGCCGGCAGAACGCGCCGGGCGGCCCCGCCGCGCCGCCGCCGGGCGCCGGCCACACCAGGCGCAGGCCCGGCGGCTGCGGCGCCGGCGGCGCCTGGGGTGGCTGGGTCTTGGGCGGCGGCGATTTGAGAAGCGGCGGCGGCGGCGGCGGCGGCGCCGACGTCGCGTTGCCGGCGCCGGCTAGAGGTTTGGGCGGCAGCGCGGACACGACGGGGGCGATGGCGGGTGCTGAACCGACGGGCGCTGGCGCGACGCCGTTGTGAGCAACTTGGACGAGGGCGGCGGCGGCGGCGGCGGCGGCGGCGCCGTCGTCGTCGGCGACGCTGCAGGCGGTGGTCGAGATGGCGGTGGTGGTGGTGGTGGCGGCGGCGGTGACGGCAGCGGCGGCGGTGTCGGTGCGGGAGCGACCGTTTGGCACGGTCTGCCCGACGCACTTCATGCTGCTGATGTGGGAGCTGTAGGAGCCGGAGTGGGAGAATCGCTTCTTGCAGTGAGGACATTCGTAGGGCTTCTCGCCTGCACGAGACACACACAAAGGTCCCCCGCGTAGCCTTCACGGGACCGTAGGGGCAAGCCTGTGAAGGCCGGCACGGCACACGAGGCGGTGGACGGCTCACCGCAGCCCGCCCGCCCGCCCGTCTTTGTTTCGCCAGTGGCGATGTTGGCGCACCGGGCACCTGGAGCTACGTGATCCAGCCGATGGATCCTCGCCAACCTGCAAAGTTCACCGATGGGACCGCGTCCAGACCTCTCCAGGATCTGTGAGCTCCTCACGAAAATCCACAATGGTTGAACCCAGGAGGGAAGGACTCCGAGGGAGGGCCCGTTGAGCAGGAGCCAGAGGGAAGGCCTCAAAGAGAGGGATTCAGAGAGAAGGATTCAGAGAGAATGATTCAGAGAGAAGGACTGAGAGAGAAGGATCCAGGATGAAGGAGTCGGAGTGAAGAAACCTGCGGAGGGAGGAAGGAGAAGCCGGCTCACCGCTGTGGATGCGGAAGTGTTCCTTGAGGTGGTGCTTGTACTTGAAGGCCTTGCCGCACTCCGTGCAGCTGAACTTGCGGCTGCCACTCTGCTTCTACAGCGCCACGCGGCGGAGGGCGGAGGGGGGAGGGGGGAGGGGGGAGACGCCGACCGGTCAGGGATCCGGCCCCGTCGAGTGAGCATCATTTACACATCGTCATCGTCGTCATCGCCATCGTCGTCATCGTCGTCATCGTCATCATCGCCGTCATCGTCATCATCGCCATCGTCGTCATCGTCATCGTCGCCATCGTCGTCATCGCCATCGTCATCATCGCCATCGTCGTCGTCATCGCCATCGTCGTCATCGTCATCGCCGTCATCGTCATCATCGTCATCGTCGTCATCGTCATCGTCGCCATCGTCGTCATCGCCATCGTCATCATCGCCATCGTCGTCGTCATCGCCATCGTCGTCATCGTCATCGTCATCGTCGTCATCGTCATCGTCATCGTCGTCGTCGTCATCGTCGTCGTCGTCGTCCTCTCCGTCTGGCAGCGCCGCTGTGTGGTGGCTCAAGCGGTGGCCGCACCCCCCTGGGTAAAATCTCCTCCTCAAGACGTCGCCGCCGTCAAGACGTTCTCGCTGAAGTCTTCCTCTCTTTCCGGTTCCTTACATTTTTATCGAACGACAACGACAACAACAACAACGACAACAACGACAACAACAACAACGACGACAACAACAACAATGACAACAACGACAATGACAACAACGACAACAATGACAACAACGACAACAACGACAACAACAACAACAACGACGACAACGACGACAACAACAACAACGATGACAACGACAACAACAACGACAACAACAACCACGACAATGACAACAACAACAACCACAACAACAACAACGACAACAACGACAACGACGACGACAACAACAACAACAACGACGACAACGACAACAACAACAACGACAACAACAACGACGACAACGACAACAACGACGACAACAACAACGACAACAACGACAACAACAACGACAACAACAACGACGACAACAACAACGACAACAACGACAACAACAACAACGACAACAACAACAACACCACCAACAACGACAACAACAACAACAACGACAACAACAACGACAACAACGACAACAACAATGACAACAACAATGACAACAACGACAACGATAACGACAACAACAATGACGACGCACTTTCCTGTTATTGTCCATCCTACACCTGTGTCCAAATAGTGCCCAGTTTTCTTCTCATCACTGCCTGCACCAACACCATTATCATCATCTTCTACATGGCACCTTGGCCTTGCCCCCGACCCCCCCGCGACACCGCCTCACCGCCACCTGCGAGGGCGGGGCACGACCCGACCTCCAACAACCACCGTAACCCCCGACCCCCCCGCGACACCGCCTCACCGCCACCTGCGAGGGCGGGGCAGGACCCGACCTCCAACAACCCCCGTAACCCCCGACCCCCCCACGACACCGCCTCACCGCCACCTGCAAGGGCGGGGCACGACCCGACCTCCAACAACCACCGTAACCCCCGACCCCCCCGCGACACCGCCTCACCGCCACCTGCGAGGGCGGGGCAGGACCCGACCTCCAACAACCCCCGTAACCCCCGACCCCCCCACGACACCGCCTCACCGCCACCTGCGAGGGCGGGGCACGACCCGACCTCCAACAACCACCGTAACCCCCGACCCCCCCGGCGACACCGCCTCACCGCCACCTGCGAGGGCGGGGCACGACCCGACCTCCAACAACCCCCGTAACCCCCGACCCCCCCGCGACACCGCCTCACCGCCACCTGCGAGGGCGGGGCACGACCCGACCTCCAACAACCCCCGTAACCCCCGACCCCCCCGGCGACACCGCCTCACCGCCACCTGCGAGGGCGGGGCGGCGCGGTGCGAGGCCGAGTGGCGCTCCAGCTGGCCGCGCGTGGGGAACGCCGATGAGCACTGCGAGCAGGCGAAGCCGCCGACGTCGTCGTCGTCGTCGTCGTCGCCGCCGTGGTGCCGGTGCCGGATGTGGTCCTTGAGCGACGCCAGACGCTTGTAGCCACGCTCGCAGTACGGGCATGGCAGCAGCCGCGGGAAGCCCTCGCCCAGCTCCGTCACCAGGCCTGGGGGGGGGGAGAGAGAGGTGGGGGGGGGATTTGTAGAGGAGGAGGAGGAGGAAGAAGGGGCGAAGCGGATGGCGAATTCAGACAAAAATGCGAGGATTTAGGATGGACGGCACGAGCCTTTGTGTGTGTGTACACCGTACGTGTGAGTGTGTACACCGTGCGTGTGTGTGTGTACACCGTGCGTGTGTGTGAGTGTGTACACTGTACGTGTGTGTGTGTACACCGTACGTGTGAGTGTGTACACCGTACGTGTGAGTGTGTACACCGTACGTGTGAGTGTGTGTGTACACCGTACGTGTGAGTGTGTACACCGTAAGTGTGTGTGTACACCGTACGTGTGTGTGTGTACACCGTACGTGTGTGTGTGTATACACCGTACGTGTGTGTGTGTACACCGTACGTGTGAGTGTGTACACCGTAAGTGTGTGTGTACACCGTACGTGTGTGTGAGTGTACACCGTACGTGTGTGTGTGTACACCGTACGTGTGTGTGAGTGTGTGTACACCCATACACGTGCGTGTGCTCACCACGCTCACCACGCTCTATAAGCTCACCACGCTCACCACGCTCACCACGCTCTATAAGCTCACCACGCTCTATAAGCTCACCACGCTCACCACGCTCACCACGCTCTATAGGCTCACCACGCTCACCACGCTCACCACGCTCTATAGGCTCACCACGCTCACCACGCTCACCACGCTCTATAAGCTCACCGTTCTGCCTCTGCTGCACGGCGGCGGCGGTGGCGGCGGCCGTGCCACGCCGGGGCGGCGTGTCCTCGGGGTCCTCGGGGTACACGACGGCCGTGTCGCTGCGGCCCAGCAGCTCCGAGAGGCCGTCCTCACCGGGCCGCCCGCCTAGGGGCCCAGCCGCCGCCGCCGCCGCCGCCGCCGCCGTCGCCGTCGCCGCAGAATCCTCCTCCCTCCCGCCTGCACAGAATCAGAATATTCAGTCGTGCCGCAGGAATCCGATGAGCCGTAAAGCTCTTTTTCACACGTCGGCGATCCCTAACGTGGTGTGGCCGCGTCACGCGGCACGACGGCCGTGCGCGAGGGCGGTGCCGTCACCCTGCATGGCTGCCCTCTTAGTGGGGATCGCCAGTGCGGTGTAGCCAGGTCACTCTGTATGGGGGACCCGTGGTGACTAGGAGATGTTAACTACCTCGCCTGGTACACAGGAGGTCGTGGGTTCGCTACCGACCCTGACACTTGCTGTGCATTTGTAGTTTGCGTGTCTCTCTCTCACCATCACCACGGTGGCCAGGAGATGTTAACTACCTCGCCAGGTATACAGGAGGTCGTGGGTTTGCTACCGACCCTGACACTTGCTGTATATTTGGAGTTTGCGTGTCTCTCTCTCTCTCTCTCTCCCCGTGGTCGCGTGGATTTTTCTCCGGCTCCTCCGGTTTTTCCCTCCACATTGAGAATCAACATCGCCGTGCGTTCAGAGTGTTTGACTGCTCTAAATTTCCACGCGACGACAAGCCACTTCGTTGAGCTATCATTTATGGCCAGGTTGCTTTCTGAAAAAGAGATCATCGTGGCACCATTACCCTGCGTAATATTTTCTGAAAGACTGGTTTCGCCCGCATAAGGGATCGTCAGCAGTGCCACGTACCGGCTTGCGCCTTGCCGTCCGTGCCACTGGCGTCGTCGGAGAGCGAGGCAGCGCCTCCAGCCTCCGCGTCCTTGTCTGTCGCATCGGCCGCACAACAACGATGACATCGTACGCGCACGCTCACGCAACGAGACAAGCGTGCAATCGTGCAATCGCACAACCACGCGATTATGAAACACCGCCGCACAGCCGCACCGCCGCACAGCCGCACCGCCGCACAGCCGCACGGCAGCACCACAGCTACCTCCGTGCGTCACGCCGTCCCCATCGTCGGCGCTGGCGGCGCCGTCGCCCCCGGACGGCGTTGCCGGCGGCGACGGCTCGTCCTCGGCGATGAGCAGCCGGTCCTCATCGTCCGAGTCGGAGGCCTCGGCCGCACCCACGGTGGACAGCCGCACCGGGAGCGCTGTGCACAACCACCACGGTCAACCACGCAACAACCACCACGGTCAGTCACACACAACCACCACGGTCAACCACGCACAACCACCAACCACCACGGTCAGTCACACACAACCGCCGCGGTCAACCACGCAGAACCGCCACGGTCAACCACGCATAACCACCACGGTCAACCACGCACAACCGCCACGGTCAACCATGCACAACCACCACGGTCAACCACACACAACCACCAACCACCACGGTCAACCACGCACAACCACCACGGTCAACCACGCACAACCACCACGGTCAACCACACACAACCACCACGGTCAACCACGCACAACCGCCACGGTCAACCACGCACAACCGCCACGGTCAATCATGCACAACCGCCGCCGTCAATCACGCACAACCACCACGATCAATCACACACAACCACCAACCACCACGGTCAACCACGCACAACCACCACGGTCAACCACACACAACCACCACGGTCAACCACACACAACCACCACGGTCAACCACACACAACCACCACGGTCAACCACACACAACCACCACGGTCAACCACACACAACCACCACGGTCAACCACACACAACCACCACGGTCAATCACACACAACCACCAACCACCACGGTCAACCACGCACAACCACCACGATCAATCACACACAACCACCAACCACCACGGTCAATCACACACAACCACCACGGTCAACCACACACAACCACCACGGTCAACGGGATTAGTTGACCAACACCCAGTCACGTGTTTATTTGTGTTTTTATTTTCATAGCTTCATAGCCATGGAAGGAAACTGGTGAAGCCGGAGGAAGCCCCCCCCCCACGCAGAGCTGGGGGAGTGAGAGAGAGGACGGACAAACCCCACAGGCAGATGGACGCCCGAGTCAGGAATCGAACCCAGGACCTCTCTCTTGCTGCGAGTTCGGCGCGCTGGTGAGATGTTGACTACCTCGCCTGGTATACAGGAGGTCGTGGGCTCGATCCCGACCCCGATATCTGAATCGGTCCTGATCACCGCCGTCACCAGCGTGGTGAAGTATGGTCAAACGACCTTCACGGACGACGTGGTGCAGGCAAGGCCTTCACCGAACGCGCGTACCCATCACGGTTAGGGGTTGTCACCTCGCCTACCCATCACGGCCAGGGGTTGTCACCTCGCCTACCCATCACGGTTAGGGGTTGTCACCTCGCCTACCCATCACGGCCAGGGGTTGTCACCTCGCCTACCCCTCACGGCTAGGGGTTGTCACCTCGCCTACCCATCACGGCCAGGGGTTGTCACCTCGCCTACCCCTCACGGCCAGGGGTTGTGACCTCGCCTACCCCTCACGGTTAGGGGTTGTCACCTCGCCTACCCATCACGGCCAGGGGTTGTCACCTCGCCTACCCATCACGGTTAGGGGTTGTCACCTCGCCTACCCATCACGGCCAGGGGTTGTCACCTCGCCTACCCATCACGGCTAGGGGTTGCCACCTCGCCTACCCATCACGGTTAGGGGTTGTCACCTCGCCTACCCATCACGGCCAGGGGTTGTCACCTCGCCTACCCATCACGGCTAGGGGTTGTCACCTCGCCTACCCATCACGGCTAGGGGTTGTCACCTCGCCTACCCCTCACGGCCAGGGGTTGTCACCTCGCCTACCCCTCACGGCCAGGGGTTGTCACCTCGCCTACCCCTCACGGCTAGGGGTTGTCACCTCACGTACCCATCACAGTTAGGGGTTGTCATCTCGTGTACCCCTCACGGCTAGGGGTTGTCACCTCACGTACCCCTCACGGCCAGGGGTTGCCACCTCGCCTACCCCTCACGGCCAGGGGTTGTCACCTCGCCTACCCCTCACGGCTAGGGGTTGTCACCTCGCCTACCCCTCACGGCTAGGGGTTGTCACCTCGCCTATCCCTCACGGCTAGGGGTTGTCACCTCGCCTACCCCTCACGGCTAGGGGTTGTCACCTCGCCTACCCCTCACAGTTAGCGGTCCTGTCATGGGAAGATACAAAGAGGGGTGATCGCTAACCGTGCGACTGCGTCGTCCTGCCTGGTGCAAGTGTGTTATTATTGCGTTGGGTGGTGGGGGATTTCGCGACACATTTATATTAACGTGATCTAACTGAAAAGAAAGACTTCATTTTGGATGAGACTGTTCGCGAAATCCTCCTACTGCTACTACGACCGCGCGTTACACCGCGACCGTCATCGGTATTCTCGGCTGTCTCACGACAAAAAAAAAACAACTAAGATGCCGGGGAGAAACAAAAAACCGGGACAGGTGGCAACACGTGACTCAGATGACGGAGTGAGGGAGGGGGGCACGGGGGTGGGGGCACAGGAAGCACAGGGCACGCCCTGGAACACGTGGGGGGAGGTGAGGGCGGGTGATGGGGGAGGTAAGGGGGGGGGGCTATGGGGGGGTGATGGGGGAGGTAAGGGGGGGGGGGCTATGGGGGGGTGATGGGGGAGGTAAGGGGGGGGGCTATGGGGGGGTGATGGGGGAGGTAAGGGGGGGGCTATGGGGGGTGAGGGGTTTAGGTGACGGGGGTTGCTTCGAGACACACACCTCAGTGTGTATACACACACTGAGGTGTGTGTATACACACACCTCAGTGGGTGTATACACACACACACCTCAGTGTGTGTGTGTATACACACACCTCAGTGTGTGTGTGTATACACACACACTGAGGTGTGTGTGTACACACACTGAGGTGTGTGTGTATACACACACACACCTCAGTGTGTGTGTGTATACACACACCTCAGTGTGTGTGTGTATACACACACACACCTCAGTGTGTGTGTGTATACACACACCTCAGTGTGTGTGTGTATACACACACCTCAGTGTGTGTATACACACACCTCAGTGTGTGTGTGTATACACACACACACCTCAGTGTGTGTGTGTATACACACACCTCAGTGTGTGTGTGTATACACACACCTCAGTGTGTGTATACACACACTGAGGTGTGTGTGTATACACACACCTCAGTGTGTGTGTGTATACACACCTCAGTGTGTGTATACACACACCTCAGTGTGTGTATACACACTGAGGTGTGTGTGTGTATACACACACACACCTCAGTGTGTGTGTGTATACACACGTACACACACACACACTGTGTGTGTGTGTACGTGTGTGTGCACACAGTGTGTGTGTGTACGCCTGGGTGTGCGTGCCAGTGACGAAATAGCCGAACCGGGTCCTGGGCCTCCCCTAGGTCGACTCGGCCTCAAACGAATACCTGGTACGGTGTGTAGTAAACATCGCCACTGGGGGAGACAAAGGCGGTCGGGCGTGGCGCTGGCCACCCACCCCGTCGTGCGCCGTTCCGGCCTTCACAGGGTGCTACACGCTAACAGCACTTGCCCCTACAGTCTGTCACAGACTTCACGGGGGATCTTTGCCTTTTGTGTGCGTGTGTCAGTGCGTGTGTCCGCGCGTCTCCGTATGCGCGTGGAGGCGCGCGCGCGCCGAGGTGGAGCGAGCGGTGATGATGGTGGAGGGGGGGGGGCGAGCGAGGGGATAGGAGTGGGGTGCGTGGGGGGGGGGGCGAGCGAGGGGATAGGAGTGGGGGGGGGTGCGACTTGGTGGGCGGGAGAGGCGGGCGAGTCTCGGACGAGGCTCACGGCAACAAGGCGCCGGAGGACGGCGTCGGAAATGCCAGCGCAGCTCGCTCACTCGCGGGCATGGGCCACGACGCCACCTGACGACGCCTGCTGCTGCTGCTGCTGTATATTTGGAGTCTGCGTGTCTCTCTCTCTCATCATCATCACAGTGGCTAGGAGATGTTAACTACCTCGCCTGGTCTACAGGAGGTCGTGGGTTCTGTCCCGACCCTGACGCCTGCTGCTGTATATTTGGAGTCTGCGTGTCTCTCTCTCCCCGTGGTCGCGTGGATTTTTCTCCGGGTCTTCCCTCCTCCACAATTAGAATCGACGTCACCACGCGTTTAGAGCATTTGGCTGCTGCTATAAATGTCCACGTGACGATAATCCCACTCGGTTGAGCTGTCATTTGTGATAGCCAGGTCGCTTCTGAAAAAGAGCTACACCGCCACCGTCGCCACTGCCGCCACCACCGCCACAAACGCCACCACCGCCTCCAACACCGCCACCGCCGCCACCACCACCATCACCGCCACCGCCGCCACTGCCGCCACCACCGCCACCACCGCCACCACCGCCGCCATCACCGCCGCCACCACCACCATCACCACCATCGCCGCCACTGCCGTCACCGCCGCCACCGCCGCCACCAACGCCACCACTGCCACCGTCATAACCGCCACCACCGCCACCACCAACGCCACCGCCGCCACCACCGCCACCAACGCCACCGTCGCCGCCACCGTCATAACCGCCATCAACGCCGCCATCAACGCCGCCATCACCGCCACCACCGCCACCACCGCCACCACCACCGTCAGCAGGAGCAGCGGCGGTGATGGCGAAGTCATCAAACAAATGCGGCGGCCCACCCCATCGTCGTCGCGCGGCGCTTTCAGAAGCGCTTTTGCGTCCGTCTGGAACGCTCTTCCGATATTAGGAAGCCACTGGGAGCTGCGCATTTTTGAACCATCATCATCTGGACTGACAAACCCATTTATTTCGTTTCTTGTCCTTCCCCTCGCACCTCCAATTAGCTCGGCTGGCTACGTATGGTGCGAAAGAAGTTCAGCATACAGTACATACACCCCGCGCAACGCGCATGAAATAAACAAACCACTGGTTAAGACAACAACAACAACACCCACACGGACGGTAATGCTACGTTTACAGCTGGTGGTCAATCCACTGCTGGATGAGGGCCTTTCCACCGGGAATGTTGGTTCATGGGGGTCCCAGGGAGCGGTTCTGCTATCACTCACCACGAAGGTCGGCCACGGACTGGAATCAAACTCGGTTAGGGCGGGAGGTAGGCGGTGGGGGTAGGTTCACAGCTCAGCGCGCTAACCGCAGCACCGCCACTCCGCTCCTCTGGTG